GTCGTGGCTTATATGGACCAGATCAGATAGAGAAATTTCTAACTATCAGTTTGCGTCGTTCTCTGGAGTCTATTTTCTTATTTATGAGTCTTGCGAACTAAAGGAAAAAATTCTTCAGCACGGAAATCCAAACAACTGGGCTTTCACTTGCAGGATATAAGGTCTCACCCTGTCCTGCTCTGCAATTTCCCTGGCCTACCCTGTTTTTGTTTAGGGCAGGGCAAATTTTATTTTTTTCCCCCTGTTCCTGCTCAGGGCGCAGGGCAGGGTAACCCTGTCCTGTGGACATCTCTGCTATGTACCGTGTCGAGTCGAAATTGAATTATGAATTGTCTCATTATTATCAAAATAGAATTACCATATTTAACATAAAAAAATATAATAATTCGACGATGATAAAAAAAAGAGAAAGCTCCAACTCTTTTGAGGATATTCATAACTCATCAGATATAACAAGATGAGTGAGTTAATGACTGAAAAGTAATTAACCAGTTGAAAGATTTTTTTCATTAGATGAAGCATTAATAGAAAAGCGTTATAAGTTTCAGTAAAAATTCAATAGAATCGAACAATTGATTATTTTCTAGCTATGTACCTGAATGTATTCCCTTTTTTTTGATTTTTTGTTATTCTTTATTATGAATCAATTTTGAATTCTTGTAAAACAAAAATGTCTTGTTCTTTGTTTTCCAATAGACGATGCCATTTTATTAAATATTCGCACGAGTAAAAAGAGGATTCTTTTTTTGCATTTAAACATCAACAAAAATATAAGAGGGCTTACAAATGAGAAGTGAGAGCGACAAAAAGAAAGGTTTCATATATGAGAGCATCATTAGGAAGAAAAAGATAAACACTCAGGGGTAAAAAAAACGGAGATGACTGTTTTATGACTAAAAAAAGAGAAACGTTGCTATTATCAAAGATCATTTTCTCTTGTTTCCACACATACATATTTCATTAAGAATTAAGTCACTGCTTGTCATAAATATAAATACAAAATAAACATATGAATTGGCTGCATGTATGTAGGTATGTAGTCTGTGAAGAATTATTGCATGTGTCGATCGCGAAAAAAATAGAAAAAAATCCACATACACAAGAACAACAACAAAAACAACAATAATAAACAACATCAGTGCGACTAAAATGGGAAACTGAAGGATATATTGCACTCATGTATAAGGTAGGAAAGAAAAGAAAACGATTAAAAAGTATAGAATATTTCAAATTGTTCTTTAGAGAAATAAAAAGTAATCACTATTTTTTTGATGTAAATGGCCATGACCATTCAGCTTTTTCTTTTTGTTTTAACATAACTTTATGTGTTAGACTAGAGAATTCTTCAGCACGATCAGCCATTTGTTTTGACGCAATTTCTACTTCATTTAATCTTTGACCACGTTCGATTAATTTCTAATTAAATAAAATTCAATTTTAATAATCAAAACAAAACCAAAATCTATACGATTCTTACCATTCGTGTATCATGTATAGCACTATTTGTTGATTCAGCTGTCCCACGTAATTGATTCATATTAACATTAACATCTTCTCTTTTAATTACACCAGCTGGAGCTTTTCCAGCCGTTTCACCAACTATAAATGAAAATAAAACACAACGTTAAGGTCTTTTCTTATTTTCAAAAAAAAGAATTTACATAATTGATCTGCATCAACCATTGCATTTGAAGCAAATATTTTAGCAAAAAAGTTTTGTTTCGGTGCTTCAGGCATCGATATTGATGGACTATATAATTCACAAAGCATTTCATTAATTTGTTCCCTAAATAAATCAAAAGAAAATCAACATCGTGATAATAAACTATTTTATAGAATTTTCTTTTATTATCTATGCAAGCATGTTAGAATAGAGAAATTCTCCTCTTGATACATACTTAACATCAGCAGAAAGTGTAATTTTTTGAATTTCTGTTGGTGAACACATATAAAGTCCGTGACCACGATTTGTAAATGTAAATGTTAAACCTATCATTGATCTAAATGAATCCATGGCTGGATCAAGATTTGTATTAAATAGTTCACGTAGACTAGGTAAACTATATACATGTATACGGCCAGCTGCTAAATAACATGTTAAACAAGCAGAACCTATTCAGGCAGAAACAAAAATCGCGAAATGAATTTTTTTTCTTGTTATCCATTGTTCTTTTTGTTTCATCTTACCTGCTATTTTAACAACCGATGCACGCATTATATTTGATGCTGATGCACCAAGTGAATCGAAAATTTTTTGTTTTGATATAGACATTTGAGATGGTAATGAAAATACCTATTTTTATGTATAAATCAGTTAGATTTTTATATTTTGCATTTAAATTTAAATTTACTCGAGCTTCTTTTGATGAACAATATACCGCAAATTGTACACCATTTGATGGAGTACTAGTCACTGGGGAAGACGATAAGCCACTACTTGGTAATACTGATGATGTATTCATATCTTGTGTACCATCTGTTGATCGATTTCCTTTGGTTTCTATAATATATATATATCGGTGTAATAATTTTTTTTTAAATCGTTTTACTAACTTTTTGTATCCCACTTTTCACTTGGTGCTTGTATAATTGCTCCTTTCTGATCAAGAAAAGATATATGTAATAATCGACCACTTAATCGAAATACACTTCCACTGGGTACAACTAAAAACAAAATTTTTAATTTTTCCTTTAAAATTTTTCCTATAAATAAATCATACCACTGATATTTCTTGGCTCATAATTAATATTTAAATTAACAACAATAACCGAGCCAGCACTTGTACCAAGCCAAACACTTGGTGAAATAGTAAAATCTGAATAAAAAAAAATACGATCAAACATGTAATTTGGATTCTTTTTGCTCTTTTTTGTTTTTGAAAATACAAACCATTCTTGTATGTAAATGATTCAGAAAATTGTATTGTACATATACTTTCATTTGTAACTATATTATCCAAACTAGATGTACTTGATGAACGTGGAAGATCGATAGCCAATGGTTTGTCTACGTGAAAAAAGAAAGATTAAGGTTAAAACGGATATTATAATTAAGCTCTATGGGATAATATTTAGACAATACATAGACATGCAACATAGAAAAGCGAAGCTTATAATGAGTCTCACATTGAATGATATCATAGACATAGAAGCCGCATTTTTATTTTATTTACTGTCGACAAAAAACTTACAAAGTGCCGAATTGATATCAGTTGGTGGCACCTGCGATCGCTTTTCATTTAGAACTGTAGTATTACAAGGAGGTGAGGACTGCTAGAATAATAGAGTGAACAAAATCATTTGGAAAATCCAAATTGATCAAGGAAAATAAAAAAGCTCATCTTCTAAATCAACATCATTCTTATTCAACTAACGACTGATTATAGAATTGCGTGCAACAAGAATAAAAAGAAAAAGTAATTCAAACGATGCAGATAACATGCTCGTTCATAATAGTATTTGATTAAATTCGATTAAGCGAATAAACGTAAGCGCACCCGAGTTACTACTGTGCACTGTAACAGTACGAGTATGATATGTTGTATACGTTGTTGATATGGCTTGTCTACTTGCCATCGATTGATGATAAATATCATCGTTTTGATATAATTTTTGTTTGGGTGATTTATCTTTCGTAGATTCAAATCCGTATGGATCCTGTGATTGAATATTTGATGAAAACATTTTAAATTGATTATCAAATGATGTCATTGAACTATTATGTGGCAATACATGTCTCATATTTAGAGTTGTTATTGTTGGCTTAGAAAAATTTGAATTAAATTCTTCATCTAAATTACTCATATCATTTTGATCAAACATAATTTGATTATCATTTTTATTATTTGGTGTACGTAATAAATGTTTACGTATTGTACGAAATGTTTTAGCTAATGTCGGATTATGTGATGTTGGACTTTTCTCATCATTATAATCTCTGAATAATGTCGGAACTATTGTTGACATTGATTCACTTGTTTGTGTATGATACATTTGTGTATAGGGATCAAATGGTTGTAATTGATTTTTTGAAAAAGTTTCTTCGATATTATTAAAAGAAAATATATTTGAGAATGCTTTTGAAGTGGGTGTTAACGATTGATGCTAGATAGAATATAATTTTATCTTTTCCTTATTTTATTTTGCGGTGAAGGAAAATGTATTAAAAACAAAAACATAATAAAATTCGATGGAAAAATTTTACGTACCGGATAGTCATATGAAAAGATATTTGAATCCTCATTATTTGGATCATTTGCAGTCCCAACACGACGTTTCGGTGATGATGTTGCTCGTTGAAATGGATCCATTGTACCATATAAATCACTGGTTACCATATTCATTAGAATAAATTTACTTAAATAATCAACAACTACAAGACCATTTTCTAATCCGAATATTAATCTAAAGTTCAAAGGAAATAAAAAAAAAGAGTAAATTTAGAGTTGATGATTTCTTCGTAACGAAAAAATAATTCATACAGTCCATATTTTGAATTGATTGCAATATCAGTGAGAATTGGTACTTTATCGTTTGGTAACCATGATAATAAACAAACAACTTCAGGTTGATAACCAGCCATTCGACGATAGCCCATTTTAGCTCGAAGTAAACTTCTAAAGTCCTATAAAAAAAACATTTTATTAACATACTGTTTTTGTATAACAATGTATGATCAAGAAGTAGTTAATTAGAAAAAAAGATTCATCTTTGAGTACAAAATTAATCTGAAATCTCAATTCTGTATTTTGTTTTGAATATAGGTTCAAAAATTTAATGCAAATTTTCCCTTAGGACTTAAAAAATTATTTTTTAGAGGGACGGAAATTAAATTTAAACACAGGAAATTGTCGTTTTCTTTTGCAGCAGCATTTTTTGTTACTACATGTGCTTTATTATGAACGTTTTAGCATAGACTTGAAAACGAGATGTTTTTTTTTCTCATAAAATAATGTAAAAATCAAAATTTTCTAAATAATCACCTTGAAATAGTGAATCTCATTGCGTCAAGCAATTTTCTATAGAAAAATCTAGAAAACCAACAAATTATTTCTCATTAAAACAGTCATGTCAGAAAGATTCATTTAATTATTAATACACGTAGTATTCTATGGAGAAATATTTGCTACTTCATTAGTTATTTTTGAAATAAATTTAGCACCCCTACATAATCAATTGATAACTCTTAAAGGACTAGTTCGAAAAGACGATTGAATTTTATTTATTTTCCCATCGAAACTTCTTATAGAAGTAACTGAACAAAACAGATCAACATGTTTTCTAGATGCTTGTATATTATCAATTAGAAAGTTTACTTTTTTATCTATATTTTGTTTAATCGATACTGATTGTAAATCATTTATCATAGAATTAGTTGCACTTTTATTTAAATCGTCATGATCATTTGTTAAATTTCTATGATATATTGGTATTTCTAAGCATGATAAATCTCCTAAACCTTCGTCAGCTTTATCTAATTCTGATCCCATAAATTTAAATAAAGTCACATGACCACCACGTGCAGCAACAATTAAATATTTTCCATCACAACACATTTTTATTGAATAAATACTAAATGGATTGTCATCATTTAATAACATTTGTTGTTCATCATTGGTACCACTATTTGCACGTGTGGATTTTGTATCGAATTTTATATTAGAATTCATTTCTTTATTTAAATTCGTTGCTACTATCGGTATTGCATTTGTTGATTGTATTCGATCAAATAAACGATTTGTACGTAATTTATATAAAAACACAAGATTACAACCTGATGCATCCCAAAATTTAATTGAACCATCAGCATGACTATTGAAAATGAACATAAAGGAAAATTTTGTTTATCAAAAACATCATTTTATTTACCCAGTAATAATCAATTCATTATAACCAAATATAGTTGAGCCAGATCGGCCACCTGATATTGGATTTTCCTATACATATAACTACAATAGTTTTTAATTATTTCAATAGAAATTATATACCTGTTGACTAAATGTGCGTTTAAGTGTTTGTTTTGATTGTAAACGGAGAAGATTTTGATAAAAAATTGGATTTGGTTCTGTTATATAATCACAATAAGTTATTGCCGACTCATGTAGATCTAATGTATGAAGGCTTTCAAATAAAGGATAACTAAAAATTCGATACAAACAATTTTGGCTACAGAAAAACGAAAATAATAATTATATCTTACTTTTCACTTTTTAAGTCAATCATGACAAGATCATTTTCAAGTAAAATGACAACAGCTGATGGATCAGGTACATCTATAATACAAAAAAAAAGAAAAAAAAGAAGAGAAAAATTCCTATTAAATCTTTCTTGTAACATGAAATTACTAACCAGCTATGTGTGGAGATGGTGATATAACATGAAAGTCGACAATGGGATTATCCATATGAAGAACATTTGTTGTTTGGCCACGTAGTATTGTTAAAAAATAAGATGAAGGTTTTGAGGTTTGAGCATTACCAGTTATTTGTTGTTGATCAGTTTGTGATGGCATTCCACCAGAAAATATTATAAATGAATCTCCACTAGACAATGAAAAATAAACGATATTTTGATTTTAAAAAAACAAATAAAGTCATACGAGCTTTTAACAACACTCCAAACAACTTTTGTTATGGCTCCGAATTTCGATGTTGTCTCATCTTTACAAATACGAGCTAAAGAAAAATATGAAATATTTCTTTTTATGATATTTCTGAATTTGTGAATTATTACTATGCGGATAATTAATGCTAACAGGTTTATCGGCAGATCGTAGATTCCATACTGATAATGAACCATCGCAATGTGAACACATAAATTGTCGACCCTCATAATGCCATGATACAGATGTTAAACCCTATGAATAAAAACATTTTTATTTACTTTTTTTCATATTAAATCTTATCAAATTTTACTTGTGGTAATGTATAAACAGTTTCAGATGCTTTCTGTTGTAAATTCCAACACACAACATGTCCAATTGGAACACTATTTGGTGTAGATAAATGTGTACTGAATCCGATGTACAACTAAAAAACAACAAGTTTGATTATCAAATAAGATATATAAATCACCTGTTTTCTTTTCATTAAAGTACTATTATATATTCTAAGATTCTCTATTTCCGGTATTATTTATTCATTTATTCTCATACAATGTAAGCAAATAGTATTGTTTCATGTTGAGTCGTAAGAGAATGAAGAACATTATATAGAATCTTGACATTTTAAGAAAGACAAGAATAGACTGAAGAGTACTTATTCTATTTTAGGACGTTACGGTATCCATTAATTTTTATAATAGATTAAATAAATAATTAATCTCTTATAAAAAAACAAAGCAAAAGAAAATTCCCGGAATCAATTAGTTAATCGAATTTTTTTTTCATTGCCACACGAACACGTACATCAAAGTTGTAGACTTAATGATGTCACGTTCCGGAAGTAAAACATTTGCTCCCGGTGACTTTTAAAGTCTACTATTAAATTAATTATCTTACTCGAGTTGGATCATCAGGATTTTGAGATAAATCAACTACAACTCCTGGATGTGAACTTTTACCCCTATGATGAATAAATATATATATATATATATATTTAATAAAACTAATTTGTCGAAATAAATCATTATACATACATTCCAATCGCATTATTCCACATAATTTTATACGATGACAGTGTAAATGTATCGAGATTAACAACATAAACATTTCCACAGTACGTTCCAATAAAAAGCCATTTTGAATTAAAAGCAATAGGTAATAAACAACGACTTATTCTTAAAAAATAAATTAATTATGAATTAATAATATGATAATAGTTTTTTGTTTTGTTTTTTATATATCTATATCTTAGTGATTGATTTATTTCAGATTTAGAAATCAACGAATTTTTTTTAAGATTTTTCTATGATTCTTTTAATCAAGAGAAAGACATTTAAAAGAAAAGCTAATTTCCTTTTAACTGACAGGAAATATTTAGAGGATGAATCAATATCTCATGAGATTTCATCACAAATTCATTTCTGAAACTCACTTTTCTTTAACAAATCGAAGTGAATTAGCAATAACAGGCTTCTTTTGACGTAGATTCCATAAATGTATATAATTATCTCGACAAGCACTTATTAATGCACCCTTTTATAATAGAAAATAAAATGTATTACTAAAAACACAAGTAACAAGAAGAAAAAAGAATTTTACTTCGTTTACACGAAAAACTAATTGAACAATTTCAACTTCACTTGGATGTTGCAAACTACATTCCACAAACGCACCACCATAACTAATTATTTAAATTCTCGTCTTTTTATGCTCTTAGAAAAAAAAATATTTAAACTTACATTTTGATAATGCCATGTTTTGTTCCAATAGCAAGAATTTTTTGGACAGAATCATAGGTAACTGTTGTTGGACGATACGGAAAACCATATTGAACCATCTAATATTTAATTAGATCGTTTCTTTAATAAATTAAGAAAAGAACAAATTCTTACTTCACTGAATGAAAAATCATCTTTTTTCAATGTTTCTGTTATTTCTATTTCGTTCATTTTCTTCGAAGAATCACCTAATTTAAATGGTAATTTAATTCGACTTGACATTATCCCAGATTTTTCTTTTCTCTTATAAGTTATTTAGTTGAAAAATCACATATGTAGAATAATAAGTTTACATCTACAAATAAATGGATATTTATTATTAATGTGTACTCATCCATGTAATCATATCAAATTTTATTTATTTCTCGAAGCCTTTTTATTCTGTTTTCTATGCTACGACTAGTTTTCCGATCAAATTTGTCGCCTTATATCCGATCTGATTGCTCGATCAGAAATAAACAAAAATAGTAAATAATAATTGACAAGCTCTTCCATTCTACACTAATAATAAAAAAGGTTTCGATAGAGTGCGCAAGTTAACAGTTTATAAATAAACATAGCTAGTTGACTATTTAATCAGACACGATCATTAACCTTATAGAAAAATAAAACATACAATTTTACACTATTAAGAAATTTTATTTTTCATTAGAAAGTCTTGAAAAAATCTATACAAATGACAATAATCAGCTTACTATGGATTCAATCGGGGCAACTGAAACATATCGACAACTGTTGACGAATAGTTTTCTAGCGTCGTCTTTTTCCTTCTTTTATCTTTTTTACAGTAGATGTTTTTTTTCTATATAGTAGTATTCGCATGTGAGAAAAAAAAGAAGCAGAAGTTATGAATGGCGAAATGTCTATGAAAAATATAACTGAAAATAAAGTCTATTGGTGGATTTTAGCGAAAAATCATATTCTATATTTATACACATGTTTAATAGCATACGTATTCGATAGATTAATTATATTAATTAGCATTTGTAAATACTTATAAAAATCTTATTCGATCAGAAAAGCAAATCTAATAATTAAATTCTTGGTGAGAAAAAGAAATCGTAGATCACGATTGATTTCTTTCTCATATAGCATTTGGAATTAATTAAATTTTACATATTTATCTTACATTTTTCCCGCTCTAATAATCAGTTTTCATCATGAGAACAAAAAATTAATCATGTTTTTTTTGTGTTAATAAGAAAACAACACTCTTGTAATTTGAATCGCTCTGGAACATATATTTTTCTCGATCGAATAAGAAACACAAAAAAACACTTTTTGTCATGCCTACAAATAATTTCTTTTCTTCCCATTCCAAGAAAAAAATACTACGATAGACGCAAAGAATATTCCAGATTCTGTTTATTTACACCAAAGAAAACAATTTAGATATATAGGATAACTCAAAATAACATGTGTATATATCTATATGCATCTTTAACATTCTTTTATTTCTTGTTTAATTGATCAAGTCCTTTTTTTTTATAGTTCACTAATTGACATTGATTATGAGTTTCATGACTACTTATGGATCGCTTTAACGATGTTGATTGAATACTAGATTTGCTATTATTTGTTAAACGAAGTTCATTAGAAAAGGCTGCCTAATAAAAGAAGAATATATAACATTATTAAGAAAAACTAAAGAATCATCAACTAAGAGGAGTCCTTCAAATGTTTTATTGCCTTTAGTTCAATATTATGTGCATCGTTGAGGTCGAAATAGGTTTTGAATATTATTTAGAAAGTTTAATGCCACAGTTTATAGTGCGTGAAAATTTCAATTTTATTGAGTTAGATGGATTTTGTACTGAAATTGATTTTTGTATTTTAATGTCAAAATTTTATACAGAAATAGATCTTAACGAGATTAGTTTGATATAAAAATTTCAACTGTTTGAATTTGTGTCCATGCCGATGCAATCACATAAGATGAATTTATGTATTGGAGCGATGTAAAAGATATAATTTTACCATAGTTATATCTTAGAATATGATGAAAACGGCAAGATCTGAAAATATTCACAAAAAACTACTCTCGTTAAGAATAATCACGATGCAAAGTTTCAAGTCAAAACTCGTGAAGTGATTTTCCGAGTGTTTCTAAGAGGAACCATGGCATTTATTTAAAAACTATTGTCAAAGTGTAGAATCTCTGTCGCAATAAGATTATAGCCTGAAGCATATTCATAGCTCATTCGACTCTACACAATGCACATAGTTTCGATTCCAAAGCGATTTATGAGTGGGAGGACTCCTCTTGTACGACATAAACTTACAGCTTGCGCCCAGCCAGCATAGGGTTGCCAAAGTTGTTCAAAGAAAGAAGATATTCCATCGTAATTACTTGCATTTAATTGTATTTTTTTTCTTTGTCCATAATGTGTTACAGCTATCGCGTGTATATGAGTGTCGACGGGTACGACATCTTGTTTTCCGAGTGACATTAATAGGACACAATCTGCAACCTAGAATATTTATTGAAATACTAAGTGTTGATCGCTTTATTTTTAATGTTGTCGAAATTTTCTTACTTTTCGACCAACTCCCATGATTTTTAATAACTGCTTGCGAGCTTCTGTGACTGATGAAGATTTCAATTGATCAAAAAACAATGCATCATTAATAGTAAATTTAAGATATTTGACTGTCTCTTGGATATATCGTGCACGATAACCAAAATTTAATTCACGTAATCGTTTTTCAAGATTTGGTTTATCAAGTTCATCTTAGGAAAAAGAAATAGAATATTTTTCTTTGAATAATTTAAATACTTACCTATGGTTGGAAATTCATGATAAGTTATTCCATTTAATGTACCTATTTCTTTTCCATATTCCTGACAAAGTGAATTAACCATTTTAGTTATACGTTGTACATTGTTATTACTTGAACATATAAATGATATTAAATTCTCAAGAGGATCTTGTGCTAAAACACGAATACCACTGGGTATTATTTGATTTTGAAATCGTTCATCGGATTGACACCATTTTTCGAATAGATCATAAAGTTTGACAGATAATTGAAAATAATTCTGTAAAATAAGAGATGCTTCAGTTTGTCGATCATTTTCATTTGTGATTTTTAAAAGAGTTTTGTTTAAAACATTGGTATAAAAAGTATAAAAAAGATTTTCATTGCCACGCTGTAAATAGATTATAAACGAGCCAAGAACACCGATGAATTCGTTTTGATTTTGCTCAAACCATCTTTGAAAGAAGAGAATAAGATAAAATAGTTGATAAAAATTTACCGAAATGATTGTCCACCAAGCAAAGTTTGTTTTAAATTTAGTTCGATCAAAGGAATTGAAATTGAGCCTGAACAATAATTAGTAAGATTATCGGAAAGTATTGAAGTTAACGGTAATGATGTTAAAGAATTCATCGGATATATCTGAAATCTAGAATTTAATAATTATTTTGTAATTTTCTGAAAATTTCAAATGTTAAGATTTATTTTTAATTCACTTGACTATTTGTTTCTCTGAGGCAACAAAATAAACATAATTTACATAGAGAAACGATGAATTTTTCAGAAGACTCTTCGATCAATACTGCTTTACAAATGAGAATTTCAGTCTATTAAAGCTTCGTCTGTGATAATAGATAGCAGAAATCCAGACGAAATTCTTTCTAAGAATAAATATAAATCCATATCACGAATATTTTCATCTTCTAGATAAATTAAAATCATGTTCTTTTTTTCGGATTCTCACTATCATCAAATAAGTTAACAGATGAACACTTTAAACTCTCAATGAAGCTTTTCAAATATTCAAAGTTTTATCACAAAATATAAGAATGAATTCTATAAAAATTGACTTCTATATTACTTAATTAAAGTAGATAGTTTAATGCAAGTGTAAACATTATCTTCGTTCTACATTATTATTGCTGTCTATACAAATATTTATTGAAAGTAATCATGATCAGAACGACAGAAAAAAGAATTTATCGCCTATTTACAATAGCATTTGCAAACAATAGAGAAAAACAAACTAGTAAATATCAATCATAGCATGAAAGAAAACAAAATAGAAGAACTCGATTTAATTTTACAGTTGTTTTTGCTAAAGGTAGATTAACAAATGACTCATGTCGCATGTTTTGTATAAACAGCAACAACGGTTTTGTCTGTTTGATGTAGAAGGACTTGACTATAATGAAGGATAAATAAATATGATGAATAGAAATATTTTACATACGCTTCACTGTTTTCAAGACAAACAGTCGTTCTTTGACCTGATAACGATGATGCTAATTGAGATAGTAATGCTATGGGTCCAGGAGATATTGAAACATCTTTACCTATTCAAAATGAACGTATCAGTAAGCATACTTTTTTAGCATTAAAACGATATTACTTGCTAATGGTAAGCCATTTTGATCACAAACAAGAATACCTTTGATTTCAACACCGACCATGTTAAATTTCTCTATTCTATAATTGGAAGAATAATATCAATCTTATACTAATTTACTTGTTTTCAAAAATAATCATCGACATACGTATTATCTATTAAAGTTTCGAATTTTTTCTCCATAATTTATCTAATTAAAAATCAAAGCATATTAGAGAGAAACGATTTTCTTTTTCTGCAAATAAAATCACAAACACAGCTGTTTGTTGTTTTCTTTATTTCTACAAAAATCTTATTGATGTGAATGTGACAAAATAAACGAGAGATAGAGCAATAGAGAGAAACAAATCTAAGCGCTAGGGATATCATATTCAAATCAAACAAAATCATTTGTTTATTCTTCATTTTTAGAAATTTCTTTTTCAGTTGAATTAAGTTTAGCAGCTACTTCTTCTTTACGCAATCGTCGTCGGCGTAAACGTAATTCTCGTTCATATTCTTTAGCATCATCAATTTTACTAAAAAGACAAAAAATGTCTATTTTAATAGTACAGCTTAAAAAATGTTCCACGCACTTTTTTATTTCACATTGATCCCATGCATGACGTTCAGGTTCACAATAGGCATATTGTGATGGCCAATATTGTTGTGTACACAGCATCATAGCACGAAAATAGTGTGCACAATAGTCACGTTTATCAAGAGGAATATTTAATGTTTGCATTTCTTCTTCAGTATATGGTGCAACTAGAATAAGATTTAAATCAGAAATCTTGGAAATTAGAGTTTCTTTCAAGAGAGATTTATCATCATCGATGAAATCTTAAAAGATAAACTAAGTTTAAGTTCACAATCATGTGATTATAGATACTATTATTATATAAATCCATGATTATTGTTTTTTTGTTTCGTTTGATTATATAGAAAATCATAATAAGTAATATAGATTATTTGTCATAATTACGGATGTAATTGCAAGGTCTATGATTAGTTCAGTGAAACAGATTTATGCTTAATAAATCTATAGTGGTGTTGTAAATTTTAATAATTTTCGATCTACTCATTCAAATTCTTAACCAGTAAATTATGTTAATTAAAGAAGAAATGATCTTTACTCAGTTCGATTAAAGCATCAAATCTTGTAAGTCGATCAGATATAGAAAGTACGTAATTCACAAAGAAAAGTTGACCGAAAAAATTTGTATTTAAAGGTTCATCGTTTTATTTCTATAGGGTGAAATATTCCTAATATTGGCACCATCAAGGTCAGACTGAAGTACTCACTTTAGAAAGGTAGCCATGGTTTGAAGTTTTACATTTTATTTTTCTAAAAATTAGTCAATGTAACTATTCTAATAAAACACAATAGCCATATATGAAATACTTAAGCTTTTTTTCTAATATGTTTTTCTTTTCATACACATATATGTATATTTAGAATCAACTTTCCTTAATTCATATATACTCCATGATTTTTCTTTATAATCTCATAATAATACGTACTAACATGTTCTCCACATGAGTATTAAAATATCTGTTGTTCACATAGCAAAGTTTCACTACAGATAACTATCTCTTCATTATTATTGCTCAAATGAAAAAGCAACGTCAAAAATGAGGATATTGAGTTTTACTATCTACTTGAATGATTTTTCTTCTCATACTTACTTTTGGGTTTTCGACCGTCTGGAAAACCATACATCTGAATAAAATCTTCATAAAGTTAAACAATCGTTTGAAATCATATCATACCGAATCAAATGTTGGACCTTTTGATTTATCGGGATATCGTTCAGGATTTCGAGCCCGATCAATTGTACCACTGAAGTTAAGTCCCATTCTTTTAATCTAGGAATCAACAAAAAGAACATAGAAATAAAAAAAAACAAAGGCGATCTAGAACAATAAAACAAACACGTCAGATAACATTTTATTTTCTAAATAAGAAAGGAGAAAAAAGAAAAAAATAAATGATTATAATTACAAAAGCAGAGAAAACCAATGTTTGTTTTTCATTAGAAAAATGAACCATAAATTTGTAGAGCTAATTTTGGATTCGTCTTTTCTAAATGATTGAATGCTGGTGTTTTCAATAAATCTGAATGTTTATGAAATAGACCAAAACATTTTTCACGCAATTCATCACACCCGTCATATGTATCTAATAGACTTAAATATGAAAAAACATTATCTCTATTAATATGATTTCTTAATAATTCTATGAGACATTGACGTTTAAGTGAATCAATAAGAAATCGATCAGATAGTTTAAATAGTTCAATTAATAATAATTCATCGTGAATTGCTTGTTCAATACGGTTTGTATACAAATATTTGATTAATATGTCGAAGGCATTTACATCAATGTCATCGCTTAATTTCAATTGATTATTTGTACAATCATTAAATTGACTTCCGAATAATGTTTTAAAATAATCCGAACGCAAGATAAGTATATGACGATGTACATGAAATGTATGTGTACCAATTTCAATGTTTAAATCATATGGAATTGTAGTATGGAATAATTCAAGCAATGAAAGATCATTTTTATCGGTTGAATTTTGTTGATCATTTATCGATGGATACAATTGTGGTTCAATTGATTCATTGGATAGAATTCTATTATAAGTACATTTAATTTTTATTCGTAACTTTTTTATTGATGATACTTCATCCAAGTCAAGACGAAGTTTAACATAACGACGATTATTTACAAAACCATCGTCACTGTATTCATCACTGTCATATAGATCAACTTCATCTGGTACACGAGAATACACAATTTGATTTTCATCACTAAATGGAAGAACATTTTTGATTATTGATTATTTCTATTAAAAATTATTATGTTGATAACAGTGAGTATGAATGTATAGAAAAAAAGCATTAAACCTGATTGTTATGAAACTAAACTGATTGTTTTAATTTCTAAGTCTATGTGATAATTGTTTACTTCAATATAGGAGCTATTTTTTCAATACATTATTTCAGTCTATATGATAATCGAATGATAGAATAAATCTATGAAAAATTTTCAAAATATAAAACTAACTTCAAAAGTTTGACTAGTTCTGATTGTACTATGTTTATTGAAATCTAATTTGTTGGTAATCATAAGCTCAAAATAATAGACTATTGATTAGATACGATGCCTTCGAGCGTTACATGACATATTGTGCTGGAATAAGGCAATTTTTAAGAAAAGTTCTAACGTATTTTCTCTCTGGTTCACCCATAGGGAATATCAAAAAACTATTGTTGAACTTTTAAAAAACTTTCTTCATAAAAATGAAATCTCTAAGATCAATGTTTGAAGCTATTATTAGCTGAGTTGTATCTCATCGTTAAGTGGTATTTTTAAAGAAATTCTATGATCCTATAATTATTTTGATTATCATATTTTACTTATTCTTCCTAATATAATTAGTCAAGATATTATTCCAGTCTTTTTTTACCGGAAAGCTGTTGAGAACGTATGAATCAACATCTACGTTGTATTAATCAGTACTTTCTCATTGAATGAAATATATTATAGGATTCATTTAAAGCTATTTCCTAGATCTATTTAGAGCTATTCATTACTCAGAGAAAACAACGTAGGGTATTGTTTTTTGAAAGTCTTCCAGAGTTCAAATACAAAAAATTGTTCATATTTGATTTATACTTACTGAGAAATAAGTTTACTTGTTTGACTTGTAACATTTGTTCTCGATGATTTTCTTGATGGATTCGATAATGAATTACTCGTTGTTGAATTACTTGCTGCTGATGGTGATGTGCGTATTTCATTATAACATTCAGCTACCACTTCAAAACAACGTCTTTCAGTTAATATTAAGGGAAATTCCATAATGACATTAATCAATATATGCCTACGACCAGGTTCAATAATAAAATTATATTTACACGCTTCATTTCGTATTTCATAGTCTGGTCTAAATAGAAAGCAGGAAAATAATTTTTTCCTCATATAGACTAAAAACCTGCAACTTACGTTTCTATATGTAGATATCTGAATACTTTGGAATAATTGTTTATTATATATTCATGTTCATATTTCGATGTATCAATATCAAAATGTGTACGGGTTCGATATATAGCCATGTTATTCGATCTAAAAATGAGAAAGAAGATAATTTTTGTTTTTTATTCTTTATCAATTAAATTCAAATCTAATTTTTTGATTTTTTTTAAAATATAACTTAGCAAAAGCGTCAATAGTAATATATAAATATCTCATATAAAAATCTGATTCGTACAAAGAATCCATTGTCTAACGAACTAATTACTCTTATTCAATCTATTTATTGCTGAATAGTATATGATATTAATATTATTTATTTGACTTGATATTTAAATTAAAAGACATTGTGACGATGAATTTATGAAGCTACTAGAAATTGAAATCTTTTTCATAAACATAATTTGTATGATGTATTAACAGATAACATAAGAAAGAAGATATTCAACAGTTCCTTTAGAAAGAAAGAGAAGTCACTTATACAGACTATTCTTCTATGTGCAATTCTTCTTTGTAACCAATTAGAAATTTTTCGATTTTGCTTTTGCCAATTTTTGAAAAACAATCGATTACTTTCACCAAATTTAGTCGATTGATGACAACTATTTTTATCAGTGAAATTCAATTGATTCATTCATATCATTGGAAATACAGTAAAACAATGTCCAAGTACGTACCCGTATATTTCGTAACTCAATATTATAATAATTATCAACGGATCTCAAAAATAGTATTCTCAATAAATAAGATAGAATAGATAGATTATTAGAATATAACACTTCGACTTGATTTAAATAGCCGATTTAGAAATTTCTAAGTTTATGGTTTATTAACAACTACTTTTTCTTCCACTATTCTACTCGATTTTATTCTAACTGCAGCAAGTTTCATAACTAATAAAATTATTCGTGGACGACACTGCCACCAGTATGTTCAAGGTGTCTGTCGATACGAACAAGGATATTTTTGAAGCGACAAACCTGTATGAGAAAGTTAAGTTATTTCCAAGAAATATGTATATGTAAAGTAAATATAGTAATATATTGATTTTATAGTGGTTGCTATCAAAACCAATCATATTTATTGTCGCTAGCTTTTGAAGCTGAAGAAATATTTTATAATATGAGCATGCGTCGTATTATCTTATCACATTGGCATCCGATAGATTGAATTCTATAGTATTCGTGTTATTAATTGTTTTTTATGATTATACCTTAGCGATGTAACGTATAGACAGATAATCCTTTTATACAGTTACAATTCTTATGTTTGAACGGACTGATAATAAAAACTTCTAAATCTTTTTCGTCGTATCAATGATTCATTCGAACGTAGAATGAACACCATGGTGCCGTGATTAGGATAAGAACGTAGACGATATCTAAATCTTTCGTAAAAATCTGTTTCGAAATTCTAATATTTTGATGAGATGCCTTTGTTTTTGTTTTCATCGTCACTCAGATAATGCCGAACATACATGTTTCTATGCTTACAATCAACAGAATAATGATAACACAACTTGAATCTAAGTAATTCAATTACATTGCTATTCGATTCGAGTCTAAAAGATCCTATCGAGGAATCTTCAATCGTCATGTACATGCATTGTGTCTGTGTCGGGTGCAACAACGTCGACACAATAGATCAATTGGGACGACAGAAGCGTTTCTAAAAAGCTAGATATTGAATAGAATAGTCCGGAATAATTAAGATATCCATTACAACCCTGATACTATAGTATCTGTATTACATCGCACATAAAATTCATTATTTGCTTTTCTGATATTTATTATTTAAAAAGAAGTCCTACATAAAATAAAGTTCATCATTGACATGCAATACTCTTCATAGAAAATGGCCGAAGTGATTTTTATTTCGTTTATTTTTTAAATTATCTTTTACAGTTAAAACTTCACTTATATTCGGATCATTGAGCTTAGACAGGTAAAAATTTTCCTACGTCTAGAAAATATATCCAATATTGTCCAATAGAAACTTTGTTTTGGTAGTTTTTTGGAACCTATCATGAAAGAAAATAACAATTACTATTACTTAGTAAAACTTTTAGCCGTAAAATATTCTAATGATGTTGATTAGTTTTGATGTTGCTCAACAAAATAAAAAATGTTGGCCTAACGTAACTACTGATCCTTGCATTCGTTGCTTCTATACTTATGATACATTCTTATGAAAGCATGAAAAAAATAAGAATGTGAACACTTATATATAAACAAGCATTTATAGTTACTTCTCCTAATTGAGATTTATGCTATAGTTCAAATGGAGATATAACACAAGAGTTCTCTTTTTTTCATAGCAATGGTTTATGAATATTTTCTTGAATGACCTATATTGATACTTCTATAGATAAGTGGTTAATGTATTTGTTAGCTCTTTTTGTTTTTCTTCACACAGTACGATGTTGTCTGGGTTATAATGACCTAAAACTGTTATGTCGTAAAGTTTTGCTTTCTGTTTGTCTATTATTTCGGAAAGTTGTCTCCATTGTGTGAAATATTTAATTACATGATCATGACGGCAGACAATAACTTTTTATCGAGTTCATATTGTCGTATTTACACCATCGAATTATAATGAAAATATTTTGTCTTTTTTTTAGAGAAAATCGTATTGATAAATTCACAGTAATAAATGGCATGATTGTTTATGAAAATAGTACTTTCAATAAGTTGGTTTTCATATGCGAACTCATAATCATACTTTCAGCATAGAAGTCATTGTTTTTTCGATATTATTTACACATACTACTGAAACTTAATCAGAATGAATAAAAACAATGAATTTCTATACCAATCAATTTGAAATAGTAATTAAAAATAAACTACGAATAATTTTTAAAATTCATCAACGATCAGACCGTATACTATCACTTTTTTTCTACTAACAATATGAATTAGACACCAAATAAATATGCCTATGTGACTCATCAAGTCCATGTTACATCAAATTAAGAGAAGCTCCGTTCAATCTAGTGAATGCTACAGTTGTGTACTTTATTTCATTTTATTTTTATTCAAAATATATGATAATAAATATAAAAATATTTTATTACTGATTAATAAATGATAAAATAAGTTCTTTCTTTTTTGTTTAGCTACATTTAAAATAATCGAATGTGTCGAAGATGAACTTTTAAAAAGAGACTTCTAAAATTTTGAAACTACTATTAGCGATTTTGAATTGTAAACATATTTGTGTTCCGTATTTTACTGTTAATTTTGCTTACTCGTTTGACACGAACACCAGCGTTCCTATTGATTTATTGTAATTTGGAGGATAAATTTTGATTATCAATCTGAAGTGAACAAGTACAATTAGTATTTGTTGACAAGCTTCGCGAAATACTGTTTACTTGCACTTTGCTAGTCTATCTGATGCTAGCAGAACACTATTTTAACTTACCGTCAATAGACTGCTGCCAGGATTTAATCGTCCAATAGATGAATTTGATTCTTCGAATGACATTTTAGATATGTTTCTTCTTGGATCATTTAAATTGGATGCAAATATGTGTGGTGCATTGGAATCAATTTATAATTAATTAGTAACAGATTGTAATTATAAATCTTGCGAAAATGAATATCCTTACCTTTTGTATTATTCCAAAGTGTTTGAGATATGGTTGACCTATAAGTATTGTCATTTTAAACAGAATACACAGGATCGGTTCGTACCAAAGTAGAACGATTGTGTGGTATGGATGTTATAGGTTCTACTTTTCTATTACAACGATTCTTATATCTGTCGAGTTTTCATTCATCTCTATTGTTTCTACAAAAGAAATCAGCTGATGAATAAATTGCTTTCCATTGATCACAACATATAAAAATGACATAGTAAACAAAAGTTACAAACTATTGCAAGAAGTGCCAGACCAGCCAGACTTGCAATCAGTGGTCAATTGATACAATCAGCTAAAAATATTGTAACAATAAAATTTTATTTTTGAGCCAAAACAAACATTATTCACAAGCATGTTGGTATTTGAGTTGATACGGGGCGGTTGCTGTTGATAATATTGACGTTGATGCGGTCACAGGGGTTGCATTATTTATAACTCTAGGACATTCAGTCGTACCATTTTCTGTCACATAAATTGTGAAACAGTATTGCGATGATTGTAGACATTGACTATGGGCAGTAAAAAAAAGAGATGATCTAACTTAAAAATATCATATCACTGAAGATAACAACCTGTTCAAAACAATTGTACACATTACTTGATAGCCAAGTTGATAAATAGTTGGTGCCATTGTTAATGTTTTATAATAGAGAAGAGAAGTTAACTTTGTAAGAGACACTTGATTTATGCCAGAAAAAAGATAATGTTGAAATATCAGTAATAATAACATTCTTTCTACAGTTATTTATACCAAGTAATTGTGATATAAATGTTTCATTTACTTTAACTGGTGTGTATGATTCTCCAGTAAGAAAAACTTCAGGTAGAATAGAACATGATGGTGGAGTAATAATTTTAACAATGAATTGAACGGGGGCAGAACTCAATGGCGTTGTACTAGATGAATTAATGAAATCCTCTACCTAAATAAGTACAAAACAAAGATAATAATCTAGTTTTGTTTAATTAGAATATAACAGACCATAAGTGCTATAGCATAGCCACTAGCAGCGCTTGTATCAATGATTTCAATAGTACAGTTAGAATAAATCACTCTATTGACTGGTAGTGAGCCAGGTGATCACATGGAACTACATTCATCAACACCATTTAATGAATTAGCCCAGCGACACCGAATAATGTCTCCATCTGGATCGCTAACGGAGACAGTAATTAGTGTCTTGTGATTTTGTTGAATATTTATTGGAAACATGACAGCAGCGACGGGAGCATTGTTAAACATATCATTGCCAGGTCTTCTTACTAAATTGATATGTGATGAAATAAACCAACTATCTCCACGTAGAGTTAGAATACTCAATGCAGTATTGGCATAAATCGCTGAAAGACTATACTACCTTGTGATAAAGAAACTATGTCTGAACCTTGTCCAATTGCGACTCCACTCAGTGACGAAACATCTGTACAATAAGGAATAGCAGACACAATTCCGAAACTGGACGGAGAGCTAGGTGAACAGGTGAGCGTTTCGACGGAACCAGCAACTAGTTGGTTTGTAGCAATCTGGCCATTATCACATCTCCCGCTAGTATATATCCAAGAATATGTTTGTGTAATAAGAATCCTTACAGATTTTTTACTAGTCGACGAATCTTTTATACGCCAAGTAATAGTACCACCTTGAAGGTGGCTACTCGACCTGTCCAAGCGTGACGGAATCACATTTTTTCATTTTGTATTTTGGAATATCTTACCTTAATGAAATTGAATGAAGCTGAAATTTTCAGAATATATTCAAGTTTCATTGTTCTACACACCCTGCGAGTTTCATAGGATTTGAAACTCCTGTGAGTATTTTATGATTAAAATATAGGCCCGTTACGGAATCACCAAAAATGGTCTTCCAAATTGGGTCCCATGTGAAGAACTGGAAAACTTAGCTCAACTAAAACTTCGAAGAAAAAACTTTCAATAGGAAAGTTATACTGGAGATGACATTCTATCTGTAGAAAAAAATAAAATTGAAAATATATAAAAATGATGTCTTTGAATAGTAGGAAAAGATGTTAATATCTTTTTAGTGTCTACTTCTTAAGAAATTTATCTATAATTCCCGAAAATGAACACATTGGTATTACTAATAGAGATGAACAAAATGAATGCCGATTCAGGTCATCGGGACTGGGACCAAAAATATTAACTGTACCGAGGTATAAACCCCAAAAATTTAGCTATATCGTGCCGAGACCCAGATCAAAGCAAAAGTTTCCCGCTTAGAGTAAGAAAGTGAGACTTTCGTACTCCAGAGTACAGGTCAAACAGGGGAGGAGTCCAGTAAAGTAGACCTAAGTTACAATTGTAGTAAAGAAATAAGAAATGTGAGAGAGCAATGCTGCAACATGTTTCTCTAAATAGGCACAGGCTGTAGATTAGTTAGAATCACATGACCAGAACCACAATAAGTGTCCCGGGACTTTGGTTGGTATCGGGACCAAAAATAATGTTGCCCCACGCATCTCTAATTACTCGTAAAAAGGTAATCAAGAAAAGTCATTTTACGTTGATCATTCTGATAAAATGAAAACTGCATTTCAGAAGTAACTATAAGATACATATCAGATATCATCCATAAAAGGGTATCTTCCATTGCGGTAATACAAATAACTTCAAACCGTCAGAAATCAACTTCGGAATTAAGTAGTGAGGATCTAAAATCCCATTATCTATATAAAAAATATAGCTAAGATACAGTATAAGAGAAAAACAATGTTTCCATTCTTTTTAGGAAAATGTACTTGTTCTACCCAAAGATGATTCCGTCACGCTTAGTGTAACGAAGCAGGGATTTTTATCAAAAGCCAACTAGTTCTGTGGATAGAGCAGAAAAATCAGCGTTAAAGCGTGTATTCGTAAAATCATAAATATCTTGCTTTCGGTTAAGAATGAGTTACAGCATATTTTCGTGACGGAATCACAATCAAAAATGAACTACTTTTGAAATATAAATATTTTTCTTCAGGAACAACAATACCTGAATCTCTTCTTATAGTTACAGAACCTACTCAACATATTTCTAAAAGATGTGATCGGGTTTGAAAAATATCATATATGTCTGCATGAAAAAACGCAAAATAAAAACTCTTGATAAATATGTATATTCATCGATACAGAGTGATACGTGTTTAACAATCTTTTTTCCCTAAAATATATACAGCTACTTAGATAAAAAAAAATACACTTCTGTGTCCTATCGACAATGCTGCAGAAGATGGCTATATTTATTTTACTCAATTTTGGCGTTCAACTTTGCCTACATAGATGGACCGTTACGTGGACAGGTCGTACTATCAACAAAACTTATACACAACAAGAAAGCAGTGATTGTAAGCATCAGTTTAATTTACCTTCTGATCTATGAATTGCTGTTTTTCCTTTCGTTTTTATATCAGAAACAATGGGTATATCTTTCTCTATGATTATTCCCTTGTCTCAATTGAAGAATATGAAAAAGAATCATTATAAATAAAGAAAATAATTCATCAACTTAATCTTTTCTTCTGAATCCGCCAATAAATAAAATAATTTCCATTTTCCACTCAATGAATTGCAACAGCTTCAAGTGATACCCGTACATTTTATGATCAATGCATGACTCTGCCGAAGGACTATTTCTCACGAAACTTCAGACGATGAATCCTGCCCAACCACAGTGAAATATGATTAGAAAAAAATCGTCACGTCACATTGCAATTTGAATATGCTTCCCAAGACGGAGTTTACACCAGTCGTGATAGTATTTTAGAGTTTTCTACAATAGTTCAAATACTTCTGAAAAATCCTAAAGCTCTCTCACTTTGTGAGCTATTGTTAAGAGCTGTATTTCATAAAGACAGTTTTCGCCAATGTTTTTAGGGGATACAGCAAATATAAATGCGAGTATTTCTTTTCTCCTCGAAAATCTGATCTTCAATATAAAACAACGAATCATCAGTCCTTTCAATTGACTTCAACAATAACTAATATCTATCATCAGTGCTAAGCTTTATATCAAATATATTTCGATACAAAAACAACAACTTGAGCACAAAATACATTCCAAGAATTGTCAAATAGAAGAGTTTAACATGCAGCACTGAATGTAATATCCCAGTGGTTGCCTTCTTTAGCATAGATATTACCACTACCAGCTCTGTATTGAGCAGCACCATCACCTCGGTTACCAATAAAAGTAAATTGATTTGTAATATAAGAGTTTATACATGCATTGAGTGAAACATCAATTTTGTATCCGTTGTAATGCGATAATGTTCCACCAGCATGACCAACTTCCTATTCATTCAAAAAACAAAAGAATCACACTGTAATAGAACATATTCATTGTTGTATCCTTACAGTTCCTCCAGTAACTGTGAGAGCGCATCCGGAAGATGTTTTCAATACTTTCAAACAATTAATAGAGTTACAATTGACTTGTTCAAGTGATGTACATGTCGGAGTATTTCGATTACTACAACCACCTGATGATGCAATTCCGATGTTAACTGATTTAATTTGAGCAAGCGCTGTCGCATGCGATTGTTTACAACTGAGAACTACATATAAATCCAATACTATATTGAGAGTAAGATATTGTTTATAAGCAACAGACCTGCGTCGAAAGCAGCTACAGTTAACATAAGAGATAAGAGCCAGATTCCATTCATCGTGTTTGTTTTTTTCGTCAATCGAATTTTGTATTGCACTGTCGTAATATTTTTTTATTTTATGACTTTTATATTACACGCTGGTATCTATATATATATATAAGACTTAAATAGTACTAAGCAGCCTATATGAAATTATATTGGATATTTTTCCAAAACAAAAATAAAATCAACAATAATATTGATTTCAATTATTTTGAATTATGAAAGATTAAAAGAGTAAATCCAAGTGCGATGTATATAGTTTCAGGTGCACAAAATCTCTGGCACAAAAACACACAGGATTATGTTTCATTTTGCTTCTTCGTTTTTTCTTTTAGAAAAGGATAGATAAACTCAATAGCGATTTTGAACTCTTTTGTTTTCTAAATCAATAGAGTTCTTCTGAGCTGAAGCACTCGTCTTTGATACGAAGAATTCTTGAGAAAGATTCAGTTTATAGATTTGTTAATGGTCAAAATTTGAATTGTAATGTCGACTAGATGAAATTGGAATGTTTTTTTGCGAGTAACAAAAGAAAAATATAAGGAGAGACAAGCAATAAAACTAAAAACTAATCTCCTTTTTATCAATCTCACAAAATTTATCAATGGAAGCAATATTGAAGTGTAATAGTAGGTGAGGCATAATATGAGGGCGTTGATGTATACTTTGATTTAGCTATACACTTTGCCTGAAACTCTATTATAATGAAATAACTAAAAATGAACAAGAACTTGACTTATCTCTACCGTGTCTACAATTTCCGCTTGTTCCATTCAGTTGAAAGCTTTTGTTACCTTTACCTTTATAAAAAAATGCATCAATTTTCAAACTGATATTGCAAAATAATCTAAATGTTTCAATAGTTTCTACAGCATTTTAATCAACAATATTAATATGTATATTGTAAATAGCGTTCACACCATTATCACTCATAATATTTGCCAGAGAAACCAGTGAACAGTAAAGCATAACGAAACATTCTAACAATAAGTTCTTCATATTTTCTCTCTACTACTATTTACCATGGATATATCTAATGGCTTCCAAATGTTAAAACTTTTTTTCCCCATTTTATTCCTACGCAAAACATGATACTCTTTCCATTGAAAAAAACATTTATTGAGCCTGTATCTAAGTGATCTGGTCTGGAATATGTGAGTTCTACATTTTATTCCCAATGGGCTGTGCTGAAAAGCTTCTTATATACTAAATCGAATTATAATATTTGATTGAATTCTGCAGAATAGTGACTTTATAATATTTCTTTTTTGTTCTTCTTAAATATATGTTATTACGACTGATGATATTCAGTTGGAACTAGAGGTGGACCGTTAATGTTAATTGGAGTTAATTAAGAGACTTAATTAAGTGGTTTTACTTAACACTTAATATTAATAAAAAACGTTTCCATTAGCCACTTAATTACTTAATTTTAAGTCACTTAATATTAAGTGATAAAATGTTTCATCTGCAGAAAACATGAATTTCTTTTGATTGTATTTTACAGAAACGCTGTTTTTTGAAAATACCTATTTCTTAGAAATTCTAATGGCAAGTTTTGGAGGTCGACCATTTTATGAACATGACTGAGTTCTATAAACTTACGCTGAAGCTTTCAGATGTCGATGAGAACATTAAACTGCTAGTAAGGGTTATAAATAGACCTTTGACATCCCGGTGAGCCGGTAAAATCAACATAGCACAAATTTTATATACATAATTTGTTTATAAAAGATAGTCTTCGAGTAAAAATTGATTAATGCGAACACAGAATAAAATCTTTGGGGAATGTGCTGTGTGAGTCGAGAGAAAAGCATGCCTGAAACAGAAATATTGACAAAAATCCTAACTCACTTTTATTAACATTCATTATATAGAAATGATATGTATGAATCCTCCCCTGACTCATCTGTATAGCAACGACGAAAATGGAGTGATTCAGATGAGTTAAAGCGCTGTTGATTTGAATCATTCTTCGCAACATTGTTTATTTGAATATCTTGTTTTATAGAGAAACTGATGCAAGTTATATGAATTTACCAGTTAGAAATGTCAACTTTGATATTAACTCTTTAAGCCTAGTGTTCAAAAGTTGTCCAATATGATGTGACAGTCTTGTTCCCATTGTAGGAAAAATACACTTTCTTTTGCTAAATGAGACCGATTGATGCATTCGGTTGAATGAATAAATAAAATCAGTAAAGTCGAACAATTTACTTGATTAAAATGAAGAAAATATACTTTTGCAAGTTACTTTCGTTCTATTGAATTAAATTTTTCTTTACTTAATTTATATTTAGATAAATTCCTTTCGCATTGTATTAAATTATGGTAATTCACGATGACTTTTCGCAACTGGTAACTACGTCCTATGTCTTACATTATATCTCTTAGCTTTAGTAAAGTTTACAGAATATCTGATATATAATAGAAATTCTTTTACGTTAGTCACAAGGCTGCAAAAAGTCATGCATCAAAATACCATCAGGGTAGTTTATCTTCTAGGCGAATTTGAGAGATTATGACTAACAAAACTTAAGAAAACGAGTAACCTTATAACTTTGTCATACATTCTAAAAAAGAAATTTTGCTTAAAATTATGTGCAACTGTCAATTGTTTTTTCTAAAATTATTGAAAAATTGTTTAGCCATGCTTTGATGATGAGTAATGGTAATATGATAATTGTCTATAGTTTTTAACTCACATTGTCTCGCTTTGATTTGATCCTGTATAAAATAATAATATATTAAGTGTCTATTTAAGTCATTCTCAAAAAAATACTCAAGACTTATAAAGTAAATTCAACAGTTAGAAATCGGTTCACAGTAGAACACTTTGATTGTTCTATTATGATGTCAAACACAACATAGATTTTCGTCACTGTTATGATAAGACATGAATTCGTTAAATCGTTAACTATAAATTGAATAAGAATAAACTATTTGATTAATTTGTTTTTTAACTTGTGAATTATCGAGTCAAATTTGATATTATATATAACATGAGGCAAATTCATCTAAAAGAATATAGCTTGTTCTATAATGCTGTAAATTCAATTGTTGAGAATAATTGAAACTAGTAATATCTTTTCCTGACATTCTATACGCGTTTCGAGTTAAAATCTACCGAAAATACTGCTTGTCTTTCTGAGCATGGTTAGATGTTACAAAAAGTGTTTGTAACAGAAAGAAATAATATGATACAGCATAATTATATGATATTGCATCATATCAACCACACTAGAACTATAATGTCTACTTCACTAATTCGGAATAATGCTTATCACATAATATAGTCAACGATAAAACAACCAAGAGAGGAAAATCGTGACTTCCATACTTCGAATTACGATGGGAGTACATGGAAGTGCAAGGGGAGTTCCAGTGAAGTACGATGGAAGTACATGGGAGTACAACAGAAGTACGTGAAGTACGGAAGTCGCGCTTTCCTCTCTTGGAAACAACCCAAATGTCGTAAATTATGAAATTATTAGTATTTTAAATTCAGATAGAAAACTTCGACTAAGTTTTACATTATTTTTTACACTAAACAAAGCGAAGACATCATAAAAGACTAGAAAAAAGCGCATACATCTGTATCATCCCATGTCGCACAAACCGATCGAGAAAAGTTGGTTAACCGCGGTTATGCAAGCTACGCAGGTCGTTCATTCCTACAATCGGATCTGAAAATGGGTTGCATCGGATCTTACATGAAAAACGACAAAAACCAACAGATTCCGCTGGATTCCGGGTTTTGGCCCGAGATTTGGGTCCACAGGATCGGAATCCGATACATATCCGATTGTATCCTACTCTGGGATCCGATGCGCCAAAAGGTCTGCTATACTTTACCTCTAAAAAGCTCTTTTGCACTAAATAGAATTTTGATATTTTTAAAATTCTTCCGTCGGATCCGTCAATAGTTCCAAAACCCAGAATCCAACTGGATTTCCTCGGTTAGTAGGATGTTTTAGGATCCGATAGAATCCGTCGTCGAATTAGTCGACCTGGGTATTTAGCGACTTTACAGGGTAAAAACCGACGGTTAACCGGACAAACAGTCGATTCGCCCTCAGTTAACCGATTATTTATTCGGTTAACAGTCGGTTTTTACACTATAAAGTCGCTAAAATAGCTTGCATAACCGCGGCTAACGAATTTTTCTCGATTGGTTTGTGCGACATGGAAGCTATGGCCTGTTATAATATTCAATGAAACAGCGAATATAACAACTAGCGCGAATAGAATGAAAAAGAGAATAGACTAACGACGAATAGGAAAAATAATGGCGAAAGAAAAATGAAAAACGATTTATTTAAAAAAGAAAGTAGTTTGTGTACAACTATCTGGCTTGATTATGTCCACAGCGTAAAATTAATCAACAATTTACTTTGACGTCAGAGCAATTCAATAAAAACGGACGAGCTTATATGTACCTCGTGTGGAGAAAAAACTGATAATAATAAAATCAGTGTAAAAAGCGATCTCATATATACAAACATACGATTTTGGTTTTTACCAAATGCATATAACTGTTTGTTCAAAGAATAGCCTGATTATTACTTTTTTTAAAGATGTATCCTCAAGAGTCTGTTATTAGATTTCGAAAAGATAAAAAACAGAGGGTAAAATTTTTTCTAAACTATTATGCTAGAAATATACTACACATTTCAATATTCAAAAACAAAATTGTTTTTAATGGTACACTTAAGAATCCTATACAATTATATGCAATACAGAATCGACTTTCTTCATCAAGTCCTGTATCGAATCTAGCATAATGCGCAATGGCTAATAAAAGTCGTCCAAAAGCATATAGAAATTATCAGCTGCAAAACAATATCGCTGGATTTACTTAATCTACGTGCTATAAAGTAAATATGCAGATAATAATAAGGCAATAAAGAAACAAATGGCTTGGAAAAAATATACAAATAACCGTTAAACTGATGTCATCTGCGTAAGATCGAAAAAGAAACGAGAATATTAGAGCGATACTAGGATTATTCTGC